TAATCAAATCAATCAATCAATCAATCAATCAATCAATCAAATCAATCCATCAATCAATCAATCAATCAATCAATCAATCAATCAATCAATCACCAATCAATCAAATCAATGATAAAATCAACCAATCCACCAATCAATCTATCCATGCATCAATACCAATCAATGATCAAAGCAACCAATCCACCAATCAACCAATCTTTCCTCTTTGTTTTGCTTAAGTATCTCTCAATTTTTTTCCCATCATCCTCTGCATGTGTTTCATAAGCATGCCCACACACACACGAACGCAAGCACGCAGGCACGCACGCACTCACACACACACACACACACACACACACACACACACACACACACACACACACACACACACACACAGGTGACGTGGCTGTGGTTGCTGAACTGAAACGTCTGAACAAACAGAGTGAATGTCAGTGTTACGGCTGACGGAGGCCCGGCCCTGAACGCAGACCTCACGACATGAACAGACTTGAGGAGCAGGGTGTGTGCGTGTGTGTGTGTTCACTCTGAGCTGCAAAAAACACACACTCCATCCAGCAACAGGGTGTGTGTTTTCACTCTGAGCTGCAGAACACACACACACACACACACACTCCATCCAGCAGAACACCATGCATACTGTCATGCACACTGTGGTGCAGTGAGGGAATGTGTCTGGAGAAACAGCACCTCAACAGAACCATGATCAATATTCACTGATTATGTAAGTGCTGTTAGGTCCATCTTTAACCCAACTGAACAATATGACTATGTTAAGAACATTCATTGATTGATCTGGTTGATTGATCTGATTTAACTGGTTGCTTTGATTGGTTATTGGTGGGTGGGTTGACTGATTGGTTGGTGAGGTGGTCAATGGGTTATTGAATTTGTTGGTCAGATGGTTGATTGGAGGGCTGATTGATTGACTGATTGATTGATCAGTCAGTTGGTGGGTGGACAGGTTGATTGTAAGGTCAGATGGTCGATAGATTGGTTGGTCAGTTGGTTGGCAGGTGAGCTGATTGATCGGTTGGTTGGGTTGATTGATTGATTGATTGATTGGCCAAATGGTTAATTGGAGAGATGATTGATTGATAGATTGTATGGTCGGTGGGTTATTAATTTGATTGGTCAGTTGGTTGGGTTGATTGATTGATTGATTGATTGATTGGCCAAATGGTTAATTGGAGAGATGATTGATTGATAAATTGTATGGTCGGTGGGTTATTAATTTGATTGGTCAGTTGGTTGGTTAGATGGTGATTTGGTTGACTGATTGGTTGGTGGCTTATTTGATTGACTGATCAGTTGTGTGGTGGGTAGGTGGGTTAATTGAATGGTTGCTAGGTTGTAAAACTGATTAGTCAGTTGGTGGGGTGATTGATTGTTTGGTTAGATGGTTGGTGGGTTATTTAATTGATTGATTAGTTGGTTGGTGGGTTGTTTGTAGATTGTATGGTCAGATGGTCGGTGGGTTTTTGAATTAGTTGGTTGGTTGATGGGTTAATTGATTAACTGTTTGGTTAGATGGCTGGTGTGTTATTTGATTGGTTGGTTGGTGGACTGTTCAATTGGCCGGTTGGTTAGTGGATGTTTGGGTTAACTGATTGATTAGTTGGACAGATGGTTGGTTAGGGGGTTGATTGATAATATTGTATGGTCAAATAGTTGTTGGGTAATTAAATTGGTTGGTCAGTTGGTTAATTGGTGGGTTGATAGATTGTATGGACAGATAGTTGGTTGGCTGGCTGATGGATTGATTGATTGGTTGATTAGATAGATTGTATGGTAAAACGGTATGTGGGTTATTAAATTGGTTGGTCAGTTGGTTGGTTAGTTGTTTGGGTGGGTTAATTCACTGATTAGTTGGTCAGTTGGTTGATTAGAAAGTGGGTTGATGAATTTATTGGTTGGTAGGTAAGTGGGCTGGCAGGTGGGTTGATTGATTGATTGATTAATTGATTGATTGATTGGGCAGATGGTCAATTAAATAGATGATTGATAGATGGTTTAATATTAAGATTGTATGATCAGATGGTTGTTGGGTAATTAAATTGTTTGGTCAGTTGGTTAATTAGTGGGTTGATAGATTGGTTGGTCAGATGGTTGTTTGGTGGGTTGATAGACTGTAGGGTCAGTTGATTAGTTGGCTGGCTGATGGGTTGATTGACTGGTTGATTGGTTGGTTAGTTGAATAGATTGTATGGTAAGATGGTTGGTGGGTTATTAAATTGGTTGGTCAGTTGGTTGGTTAGTTGATTGGGTGGGTTAATTCACTGATTAGTTGGTAAGTTGTTTGATTAGATGGTGGGCTGGAAGGTGGGTTGGTTGATTGTTGGTTGGTGGTGGGTGGATGGGCTTATTGATTGGTTGGTCAGATGGTTGATGGGTTATTTGACTGGTGGGTCAGTTGGTTAGTGGGTTCATAGAGTAGTTGGTTGAATAGTTGGTCAGTTCATTGGTTGTTTGGTTAGTTGATTGATTTGATTACATGATAGAATTCTTATCCACGATCATTTTATATCAGACTTTTATGCCTGAGGCTGTTTTTATTGTCAAACCAAAGTTAATTCAATATGATAATCATTTGCATTCTGATTGCTGTTGACATTCACAGTGGCTTTACACCATACACACTATGCAGTTCATGAAAGTAGGAATAGTGCATAATGTTGTGAATGTTGTATAAACCGTTTGATTGAGTGAGTCCTGTTGCAGTGGGGTTGGTGGATATAAATATGCAGATGTGCGTCTCTCACATGAGGCTCTGCCTGAAATGAGCAGGACACTGGGGCTCCTCGTCTTTCTGAGGGTCCGTCAGCTCGATCGGGGTCACCAGGCCCATATCATCACCCTGATCAATCAGCCCTGTCATCATTGTCTGCCAAAAAAACAACAACAACAGCAATGATTAAACACGTCATAATGCATTCACACTGAATTTAGTAGGTTGTCAAACACACATATGACCTGTATTAATAAAGATATCAGCCTAATGTTTAACCTACTTGAGCAGAAATTATAAAAACAAACATGGATGTTGTCAAGATTCTTGCTCTGGAAATCCTAATATTCCTGATCATTTGTTATTTTCTCTCTTCTGTTTGATGTGTTATAACTTTTGTCAGTCTACAGTACTCTGAATGTTTCTTTCATATCTTTTTTCTGATTCTGCACAGCCCAAAACAAGACAATAGATGATCAATTTTATCAGCCATAATCAACAAAACATGCATGTTTCGTTTGATTGCATCGTTTAATAGAAATAATCATAATAATAATAATAATAAAAAACAAAATATGCAAGTTTCGTTTGGTTGCACTGTTTAATAGTCATTTAAAAATGGCAAAATTTGCAAGTTTCTTTAAGTTGCACTGTTTATGAATAATACTAATAATCTACTAAATAAGCCAGTTTCATTTGGCTGCATTATTTATTATTGATAATAATCCACAAAGTATGCAAGTTTCATTTGACTGTATTGATTAATTATAATAATAAACAAAATATGCCAATAAGGTTCATTCAGTGGCACTGTTTACATTCTGTGCTTCCAACATGGCAGATTCGTGATGCATCATGAAAATACTCCATAAATTTCCTATAAGTATATATTCACCCATAAACACATCAAATGCACCCTAGATATTCAGCTTAGACTGAGTTAAAGACATACTGTAAAACACACCATTATGATTATCCACAAAAAGCTCAGATTTCCCCCGCAAACACACAGAAATGCAGCATTAGGTTACACACACACACACACACACACACACACACACACACACACACACACACACACACACACACACACACACACACACACACACACACACACACACACACACACACACACAGCGACTGAAGGCTGACCTAGAAAAGTGAAAGGGTGTATTGTGTTGAGCAGCTCAGAAGTGCCAGCATCTAAACACACTCATGTGGGCAGATCGCATTAGTCCAACCAGCCGCATGTGAGAAAGAGCCAATGCTTTAAAAAAAGCAGAAACACTGAATAAAACAGAATGTGTGTGTTCGTGTTTAACTGTGTGTAAGCAAATGTTCATCAGACACAGAGCGGAGCATCGGTTACGATTCAAAGCAGCAGATTTCCTTACAGTAACTCAAGCCTGCGGGAATTATCATTAACGCTCTTCATGAAGCCATCGTCACAAAAGCAGAGACGGCTCATTTTTCACTTTGGGAAAAAGAGAGTTTTGAAACATCCGCATTCACCCCGAGGCATCAGCTGTGTTTCCATTTAAAGATGAACATTAGATTAGAACACAATCATTACTTCTTAATAAACGTCCACTTATATTGCTGAGAGAAGTGGAGTTTGCAGCACTGTCCCAACCGACCAACCAACCATCCAATTGAGCAACCAACCAACCCAAACCAACCAACCCAAATCAACTAAGCAACCCAAAACAACCAATTAACCATCCAATCAACCAACTCAAACCAACCAATCAACCAATCCAAACAAACCAACCAACCAATCCAAACCAACCAAATAATCAACCAAACCAAAACAACCAACCAACCAACCAGCAAATCCAAACCAAACCAACCAACCAACCAACTAATTAAAATTAACCAATCCAAACCCAACCAAACCAACCAACCAACTAATTAACCAATCCAAACCCAACCAAACCAACCAACCAACTAACCAACTAATCAACCAATCAAAACCAAGCCAAACAAATACAACCAACTAACCAATCCAAACAAAAACAACCACCCAACCAACCAATTCAAACCAACCAACCAACTAATCAACCAATCCAAACCCAACGAAACCAAAACAACCAACTAACCATCCAATCAACCAACTCAAACCAACCAACCGACCAATCCAAACCAACCGACCAACTAACCAATGCAATCCAAACCAACCAACCAAACCAAACCAAACCAAACCAAACCAACCAAACCAAACCAAACCAAACCAACCAACCAACCCAATCCAAACCAACCAACCAACTAACCAATCCAAACCATCCAACCAACGAACCAACTAACCAATCCAAACCAAACCAACCAACCAACCAACCAACCAACCAACCAACCAACTAACTAACTAACTAACTAACTAACTAACTAACTAACTAACTAACTAACTAACTAACTAACTAACTAACTAACCAATCCAAACAAAAACAACCACCCAACCAACCAATTCAAACCAACCAACCAACTAATCAACCAATCCAAACCCAACGAAACCAAAACAACCAACTAACCATCCAATCAACCAACTCAAACCAACCAACCGACCAATCCAAACCAACCGACCAACTAACCAATCCAATCCAAACCAACCAACCAAACCAAACCAAACCAAACCAAACCAACCAAACCAAACCAAACCAAACCAACCAACCAACCAATCCAATCCAAACCAACCAACCAACTAACCAATCCAAACCATCCAACCAACGAACCAACTAACCAATCCAAACCAAACCAACCAACCAACCAACCAACTAACTAACTAACTAACTAACTAACTAACTAACTAACTAACTAACTAACTAACTAACTAACTAACTAACTAACTAACTAACTAACTAACTAACTAACTAACTATCTAACTAACTAACCAATCCAAACCAAACCAAACCAAACCAAACCAAACAACCACTTATCCAATCAACCAACCCAGACCAACCACCATGCAGTGGCTTTTGGAGACGGGAGCGCAGACAGATGCTCAAGACAGTTCAGGAGGGAATCATGACAGAAGGATTATACTGAAGCACTGTGATGACGGAGGCCTGAGGCTTTTACAATCAGCACAACAACATTTCATATCTGCAACAATGAAGAGCTGGAAACCAACATCAATGACACAAAGACCCTCACACACACACACACATGTACATCTGATCAGCATCTGAGAAAACTCCAACACATCACATCACATCAGAGTTTACACGTATTTGTATATTTCTACTGAACGTTCTTCAGATGTTTCTCCGTGTCCTCTTATGGAAATGTGCCATACAGGAGCAAGCTGGAGGCCTTTCAGATGTGAAAACACTCAGGCAAGTGATAACAGCACACACACACACACACACACGCACACAGCTGACTAAATAGCTGGTCAACCAAGTCACATCTGGGAGAGAGTGACTGAGAGAGAGAACAAGCTGATAACAAGCACTAAATATAGAGGTGTGACTGACCACACACACACACACACACACACACACTCCAAGACATCTAACAGACAGTCGCACACACATACACACACTCAGAAATGTCTAACACATATCTCTTTCCCTCTTTGAGATGTCTAACACGCACACTCAGTGAGACGTCTGACTGACACACACACACACACACTTATTCATAGACACACTCAGAGAAACATTACAAGGCACTGGATGGATGGATAAATGGATGGATGGATGGATGGATGAATGGATAAATGGATGGATGGATGGATGAATGAATGGATAGATGGATGGATAAATGGATGGATAGATATATGGATGGATGAATGGATACATGGATGAATGGATAGATGGATGGATGAATATATGGATGGATGGATCTATTTATGAAAGGATATAAGGGTAAATGGGTGAATAGATAAAGGGATGGATGGATGGATGGATAAAGGGCTGGATAAAGGCATGTATGGACACTGAGCTTCTCCACACAAGCGGTCACTATCACACCTGTAAATCCTCCTCCTCCTCCTCCTGCTGACCTCCTCCTGACCTCACTTTTAGTTTTATTCAAATTCAGCTCTTCTGGAAAGTGAAAGTGCTGCGATCACAGACTCGCCTTAGCTGATTTCCTGAACCGCTGCTCAGACGGCTATCACGAAGCTAAAATACGTCCAAATGGTCTAAGATTTACTCCCAAACTATTTACATAGCAACATCTCTTTAATCAAAACACTTCTAGTCATCAGAGAGAAGCAGTGGTTCATAAGAAATGAGTATTTCAAAGCCAATGCAAGTAAGATTCTCTGATATATAACAAAACAAGTCAGAAAAACGATCATGACTGCAAAACACACTCATATAAACCAATTATCATTATCCCTATAATGGTATATATGCAATTTCCGTATGACAGAAAGACGTGATCACTGAAATTAATCTTATGTGCCAAGCATTTGTGTGTTGCGTACACGTTGTTTATCCAAATGTGACCAATCTTATATATTATTTAGTTTGTTTCCTTCATTTCTGATTGATTTTATGCACATTTGTGTTATATAATCTCTCATTTATCCGTTGTTTATGTAATGTCCAGCGCTTTGGCAACACTTAAGTCAAGCCAATAAATTAAATCTATTTATTAGCTTCATTGGCTATTTATTGCAATAAAAGCTAACATTTACAAACAGGTCATGAATAAATAATTTCCATAACAACACAAAGACATCAAACTAAAAATAACACGCCAGATAAAAACCTAAACCAGTCTTTTAAGATTCACATTTGAGAATAGTTCTCGTTTAATTGGTCTCAAAGCATTTAAAATAGGGCTTTGTAAAGCATTTCGGATGTTATCACAGTACTGTCATTTTGAAGCAAGACGTTGAATTACAAATGAAATTTAGAGGACGTTGTCAGCATTTATATTGATGCTATAATTTCACAACGTTTTACACAACATCAGCGTGCTGACCTGCAGTTTCTGCATTGTTTAGAGCACTGTTTGTGTGTCTCCATGCGAGATATTGAGAATGATATTTAGTGTATTGTTATATGATTGATGGAGCTTACAGCGTGGCATTATGTTGCCATCTCACCCAGGGTTGCCAAGTCCTCACTTTTCCTACAGAATTGTACTACAGTAATGGTTCCACTTTATATTAGGGGCCTTAACTAATCTACACTTACACTGAAATT